CCCCCCCCCCCCCCCCCTTGCACCCTGCATCACACCTCGTCTCTAACGTATGTAGTGTCACATGATGCACTGTTCGTTTTTCCTGCTTCGACAAACAGGAGGCGGCGGCGTTGAAGGTGAAGGGGAAGCTGCATGCCATCGAATGGATGGACAGGCATAGACTGTAGACCGTATGTTGTGGGTGAAACACCTGTTTGTACGGTTGGCCTGGCTTAAAACTTGAAGTACACGACGAGGGGAGTTGGTTGTGTTTTCGTCGCGGTGTGTCGCTTGAAGCTGTAGCTCCTATCGAACGAAAGGTGCGAAGGTGTACCGATTCAGGTAAAAGTCGATCGACGGATACCCTGCGAATCGGGTCCTCCTTAATACTCTCCACCCACAGAATTTACCCTCAACTGGGAACCTCTTGTGGCCAGGATGGGTAATTCGATTGAAGTGCCTCAAGGTTCTTTATAGGATCGACTCCAAGAGGTGTTCTCAGGACTGACACAAATTGTGTCCATGGGAAAATGTCCAAGTCAGGAGAAAAAGTGTGCACCCAAGGGGATTCGAACCAGTATCCTATCGCTTACGCCATATACGAAAGTGTACCGATTCAAGTAAAAGTCGATCGACGGATACCCTTCGAATCGGGTCCTCCTTAACCCCCTTACCACGCACAGAAAATTCGGCGTTCTGTCGAAATTTCTGAATTGTACGAAAAAGAGCGAACGACGCCTGCTGATTGGATGGTGCAGACAGTTCCATCCCTGGGTGCAAGTGCAAAACTGCCTTCCTACTTGAGCCGTCTCTTGTCTGTAATCCCTATCAGATGTCCCCTCGATTCGAGGTGACATTTGATAGGGATTATAGACAGCAACTGGCGGGAGCGTGATAAACGGGGCACGAAAAGGAGGTTTTAAAGATATTTTTCTAGAGGGAAAGCGAGACCTTCTAAACCAAGCCCAAGGTTGCCCGGTGCCTCCTTTCAACGGTGGGCTAGGTACTTCTTCCGCGCGTGCCCCTAGTAGCGCTTTCTACCCAAGGGTAGATAGACGCAGCGCAACTTCGCTGTTGAACCCGCGGCGTAATCGCCCCCCGATTCGACCTGTTCATTACCCTCATACTCCTCCACTCTTCAAAGCACCCATACTAAACTAGAGTCGTCCCCGTGTACCCTGGCACCCCCCTGGTCGAGTAGTTCAAAGGAGGAGACAATCGTGCCATTCTTCGCGAGGGAAAGCAGGTGAAGAAGTTGGGGACAAACAGTGTCCCCAAAAGGCGATCTAGCCCTAAAGGGGTTGCATGTGGGAGAGTGAGATCTATCGTAGCTATCTCATAGTGGCGACAACCTCATGTCTTCGTAGATTCAACGGATGGTCGGTCCATTTGGGGGTGTTGTTGGGGTGTTGGGGTGTTGTCTAGATGCGTACCCATGTGCTCGTGTAGCTTTATTCGTGTCGCGTCATCCCGCGGGCACCACGGCTAGCTATAGACTACAAGAAGAGCGTCCATTACAAAATAGTCTAGACTATTGCACCTTCTTTTAATATGAGCAAGAATATTATTGTTACCCCTACTGCTAGCGACATTAGTGGGGGAGTGTGGTTAGCAGAGTATCTCTCGACTAATTATTTACTAAAACCGCCCGCGGGTGATGAGATGGCCAAAACAAATTCAAAGAAGCAGATGTATTCCCTTTTAGGGGTGCGACATCGTCACCCGTTTTGGTTTTACATCAAAAAAATTCTCCGTTTGTTTTTTTTCGCATCCTTGTGCCAGATGGATTCCCCGGTCTGCTTGAGAGGTACCACAAATACATAGTTGTGCGATCACCCCGCATACAACAGTGTAGGCAGCTGTGGTGTACCAACGTTACGCGGCGAATTCGCCATCTCTGTACCGGTAGTCCACGTAAGTGTTCGCGACTGTAAGCGTTCGCGACTACAACATGTGCACAGCAGCCTAGTCTAACGTACACGAAACCCAGCAAAAAGTACGTGTGCTCGCGGGCCAAAAAAGTACTTCCCACTTTTCCGGGTCTCTCGTCACATAACATGAATAAATAGTACTATTGTAGCCTAAACAACATGTCGTTCCAGTAGGATCGGACGTTACACGGTGGTATCGAGTGTTTGTTGTTGTGTTGTTTTTCTTCACATTAAACTCGTGGCAGTTGCTAATCCCAAAATCTAGCAAAGTGTACCAGTCGCGTGTTCCTGTTACAGCCGGCTTTCCTGTTACTAGAAAGTATACTTGCACATAATCTCATAGAAGGACTACCCGCGTCGAAGGGGGGAGGTGCTTACGAGTCTGTTCTGTTCGTGTTTGGTCGGGAAAAAAAATGTTGTCGTCCGTTCCGCCGTTTCGTCACGAAATCCGTGCTTGGCACAGTCTATACGAACTCCGGATCTCCGTCAACGCCCCTCTTCTCACACAACCCAACCGGGGAACTGGGACGCTGGACCCGACACCCTGCCACCCTGCCTGTTCCGCAGCCGCAATGCTAGCCCATGCGTGTTCTCGAAGATCAGCAGCCTTGGCTTACCATGCAAGATCTACGCGGCAAGTCTTCCTTTGCCCACTAAGGAGGCGGTGGCTGCAAAATCTCATGTTCCACAAGCATCTCCCGGTTGCTGTTTGGTTCGACGTCACGTCAACATCGGCACTCTGCCGTTGCAAGGCGCAGCGTTTCTTATCTTCCGTTCCAAGCACTGCACAAGGAATAGATATGAATTTGGTATTCCCGGGAACTAGTGTGACACGGAGAGCCCCTATATATTATCACGCAGGAACGGAATCGGCGCGATTTTGGTGTGAAAGTGTGACAGCAGTACTTCATGTACACAGACGACAGACAGCGTGGAGGATTGGGAGCGAGCGGAGCAGCGAGGTCCCAATTGCGTTGCAAAGTTAATGCAATCGCCATCTGAGTTACCTCCGTCATGCTCCGATGCTCGTGGGTGTCTCTGCCTGCGTCTCTGTCTCTCTGTCATTCTCTGTCCGTCTCTGTCTGTCTCTCTCTGTCGCTCTCTCTGTCGCTCTCTCAGCTCTATCTCGCTCTCTGTGTCTGTCTCTATCATGTGGCAGGCGTTACTGCATCCACGCAGCGGCAGCAGGAGCTCCTGACCCTGCGACCGCAGCAGGAGAAAACAGGCGCCACGAGACTCGATTTCGGAGGCGACTTCTAGGAAGCAGCATCTCCTCTGAGCCCGGGCCACAGCACCAGCGCTTTTCGGCCTTGAAATCGACAGCGGTGCCGTTGCGCGGAGAATCGCAGCGTCCCCACCGGGAGCAGGGGCGACGACGATTGCCCGATAACCGTTGCGACAGGGGCGGGCCAGCGGTCGCAGGTGCCGCTGCTGCGAACATCCACCCACGCTTCAATGGCTCCCTCCTTGGATATGGGTGCGTACCGCCGTGTGTGGTTGTGTGTGTACGTATCAGAATTAGAGTAGCATCGGGCGGCGCACTTATTCGGCTGGCGAATGACCGGACGTCAACATCAGTGATCATCGGGGCGGCGAACACGCTGGTATGTGAACGCTTTCCAGTCCACAGGGTCCCTTGACACGGGGGCTGTGAAGGAGGCTGGAAGAACGGCCCGTCCTCCGGATTAGAGATCTTGCGAAAGCACACTACAGGAAGCCATATCACCTACTGCTGTATCAAGCCCTGCGTTGTCACATACACTATTGATAGCATTATTTTCCCTGCAGTAGACCTCTTTAGCGTGGCGTCTTTGCGTGTGTATTGCGATGTACACAAGACAGCAACACCAATAGCTTGATCCTCGCTTCTTACCGTTTGAAGACCTCAGCACCTGTTCACCGGCGCCTGAGCGGCCTGGGGGGTTGTGGAATTCCCCCGACAAATCACTGGGTTATTGTGTTCTATAGTTCACACGGCAACATCGAATGAGAGAGATGATTGAATGATTCATATATGAGCGGGGACTGGGTTCTAATAGTTTGTGGTGCGTCTAGACAGACCCTTGAGTCGTGTGCATTGTCAGGATCCAGCTCTATACACCGAGGTATTGATAGCCGACAAGCGAAAGAGACCTCCGGCACTCGGTCTCTGAGCACCACGAATAATGGGCGTCAACGTAAACCTCGTCCTTTATCTTGTCATCATCCCATTTATTGTGGACGTCGGTTCCTTACACCTTTCGGCACAGTTCTGGAAGCACCAGCCCGGGTCACACAGCAGGAAAAACACACAAAGAGTTGCTGTCTCCGCCTTTCTTGTGCAGTAAATGCCTTGATTTCTATCTCGAGAAGGAATCGCAGCTTGTCAAAACAGTAGTTGACTGTAACCAAATATTTGCTCAGCTTTTCGAAACAGTAGTTGACTGCAATCAAATATTTGCTCAACATTTCTGGAAAGTGGTTGCCGATACTTGGTGGTCACGAGACGCCCGTGGTCTCTGGTTACGAGAGGATTACCGGGATGGTGTTCGGTTGGTCTATTGCAATTTGCTCTTGTTCGTTCTGGGTGGCTTCAACTCGCGTAATCGATGATGATGGACGTGATGTGATATAAATATATAGTCGGGGCAAAACTCAATTGTTTTTTTTGTCGCTTCGATCGACTTCATCTTTTCAATTTACGTCTCGATGACGGTGGCTCAGATACATGCACGCACTATTGATTCGAGGATGCACGTTTCCGGAACCAATCTCAATCTTCCTTCCAATGACGTCAGGCTGGGCTCCCTCCGATCCCCCGCCCCCTCACTTTCAACCACAACATGTTCAAAAATAGTTGTCAGGACAAATACGAATAGTTGACAGAGAGTTGCCTCCGGGAGTAGTTGCTCCGAACCAAATATTTGCGCAGCTCTTCAAGACAGCAATTGACAGGAACCAACTATTTGCACAGCTTTTCAAAACAGCAATTGACTGGAACCAAATATTTGCGCAGCTTTTCAAAACAGTAGTTGACTGCAATCAAATATTTGCGCAGGTTTTCGAAACAGTAGTTGACTGCAATCAAATATTTGCTCAACATTTCTGGACAGTAGTTGATCACTATCAAATAGTTGCTCAGATTTTCAAAACAATAGTTGACTGGAACCAAGTAATTGCGCAGCTTTGCAGGAAAGTAGTTGATTCCCAATCAACTACCAAATATTGTATTTGTATAGGGTTTGAAAATATTTGGTTCCAGTCAACTCAACTACTGTTTTGACAAGCTGCGCAAATATTTGGTTCCAGTCAACTGCGGTCTTGAAAAGCTGCGCAACTATTTCGTTCAAAGGATTCAGCCGTTCGTTTCCCTCGTCGACCGTGAAGTCGAACTGTTGGTTGCACACGCAATTACCGCTTTCCACATTGTTTGGGCATGTTGTGAGAAAGATACCCCAGTTCGCGTGGCTACACCGAGATTCGGAGCTACGTCCAAGCGCCAGAAGGTTGCGAAGTTGAATCAATTGAACCACTACTGTTTATGTGCATGCACTGTTGCGACTCAATAAAGTCGACCTTTGCCAACTACTACTGCTGTACGCGAGAGTGCACACAGCTTGCCGCTGTTTTCATGCCGAGGGACGCACGTCTGTGATGCCCTCTTTGGGAGTGCGACATCCTCGACGAGCTCCCCAACCGCTTTACAGCACTTTACTCATCTCTCTGTCTCTCTGGCCCGCAACTTGTTGCTATTAATAGGTGCTGAGTGCCGAACATAAACATCTTCGTCATTGACTACTGTAATGCCCTGATCGTCGTTCTGCCAGCAATTCTGCTTAACCTCTCGCCATCTGAAGCGACAGCCGAACGCCTTTGTTGGCACCACGTAGACTGGGGCCTCTGGACATGTCGACCGTACACAAAGCAGCACCAACCTGTGGCGTGGCACCACTTTTTTCGACTTTAATGTCGTAACGAATTGGTATAATTTTACATCCATCTGGTTAAATCTTGCCACCATCTCCCATGATCACTCTGGGATTTATTCCGAGTGACGTACCGTACCCCCCAGTGACATTCTTTGTATCGTAAGAATGCTCTGTGTAAGGCGGATCGTTGAAATGAAAAAACTTTTTTGGTTTTGGTTGGCGAGAAAATCGCGATTTCGTCGAGGTTTTGAAACTTTGTTTGGTTTAATTTGGTCGAGAATGAGAGGTCCGATTAGCGTTTCACGTGAAGGCGCTCGCGAGGACCCCACTTAGCGTTTTTTTCGCTGATATGCTTCGGTGAAATGGGCGAAAAAGCGCTTTCCAGGTGACCTCAGAGTCTCGTTTTTGGCGGGAAAATGCATTGATAAAATTCGAAGAATTCAACAGATTCGGACGAATTGGACCTGCACCCAGGACATGATTTAAATTGTTTTTGTTCCAAAAAAAAATTGTGTCGAGATATGGCCCGTCGAGGGTTTGGTGTGCGCACACATCACGCATGACCAAACGACACACCATAATCCACACGATACAGCAGCATATATCTACCGAAGCATATTTATCTATCTAGAATACGTGTGTTGCTGTTTCGCTGTTGCGGAGAGGGTGCTGAGACGGGGGTGTATCCGTAGTCGTGCATGCCGTAAGGGTCGTTTTACCATTGAGTCCGCATTGAGAGGTTGCTGAGAGTTGGGGAGAAAATAGCGCGGACAATCGACGACGGGCGCAACATGTCACGACAGATTGTATGCCGTAGCGTTTCGGGCAATTTTGGGGTGAGTCTCCCCCCAAAACGACCATTTTCACCTATTTTGTTTCTTGACACCGGGTTTCGATGCATATCGGGTCGTGCGATTCTTGCAAAGTTTTTTCACGTCTCAACTCTCGAAATTGAGCGAGAAAAAGTGGGGGGTCACGTTGTGACAAATTTTAACCCGGATGTGAACTCTACACTAGTGGCATTCCAAATCCATGGCGGCGGCTGAACACAAGAAAGGCTTTTTTTGTCCTGTGTGCGCTTCGGCGTGCCTCGCTCACCCCCCTGTTGGCACATGCCGTACCCAACTCGCCCCGCAGAACTAGCAGTCGACACATGGCATCAAGCACAGGCACCGGCGGTGCCGACGCCCACGACAGATCTGGTGGGAACGGCGAACGAAAGCGGCTGCACCCGGCAGCGGGGGCGGCGGATCAGGGACAGCCGTCGCTGGGGGGGCGAGGGGCGTGTCGGGCGACGGCCCCGTCGATCGCGCCGGCGGTCAAGGGGACGGAGGGAGCGGAGGAGGCTTCCGAGCGGGATAACGCCAAGCGCATCTTGATGACCCTGGCGACACACCTGTGGCCGAGCAAGGAGCTCCAGGTACGAGTACACAGCAGGAGGGCTCGCGGAGCCGAACTCTGGAAGCACTGCCACAAACTGGATGAAGGACCATATCAGGGGGTGGGGAGGTGGGGGGGGGCTGCTATCTACCATACATGGTTTTTCAACTAGGATTTAGAGTGGTATACTATAACCTATACATGGTCTTTTGCATAGGGTTTAGTATGATGAGTTTCTCTAAATAGTGTGGGTTGCCGATGTAGAGCGGGTGAAATTTACTGGCGCAGATGGAATATGTATTCAAGACTGACAGCGGTTAACACATTCAATAGTTGTAATAGTGCGGGTGCCCACCGCTGAAGTGCGGGTCATTTCGCTTGGCACATACTCGCACTATAGAGGGACCCCGACGTAGACCCTTTACTTATAATACTACTGCTGTAGAGGGGTTGTAGACTGCTGTGTGATATTTTGTGTTGATTACGCACAGTCCCATACACACGTTTAGTGTATGTGGTTTTATACAGTGTATGTTTATATTAGTGTATGTGGTTTTATTCCAAGTACGATATGAAAGCCTATACAAAAAGGAATAACTAGACCTTGCTATACCCATACTAAATCCAATAAAAAGATCGCCTTGAATAAACTGGATTTAGCGCCCGAAAAAAGGGGGTAAGGGGGGGGGGGGTAGCCGTGCTTCCAGAATTCGGCTCCGTGAGCGCTCCTGAGCAGTGCGAGGGGGGGGTATTGTGGCTTTGAAAACAAGGGGGTGGGGGGGGGGGGGCGTCTGGTCG